CCACCCACCCACCCACCCACCCTGTGCAGCTACCTGGGAATGTTCCCCCTGTTCGTGTGGTGAAGGCTGTGGGGGGATAGTGTGAAGGCTGGGACTAAGGTCTTGCTACGTGAGAATGGAGGGAAGCTGTTTTTCAGGGGAATTACAAAAAATGTCTCCCCAGAATCTCTCTGCAATTCCTCCCCTCCCCCTTTTAAAGTACAGCTTCCTAAATTTCTCTTTGATCATAATTTTTTTTTTTTTTTTTTTGCTTTCTTTCTTGTTGCTGAAGTGTAAGAAGATATTACAGACCTTCTGTCATGGTTAATGAAGCTCTTCTAGGAGGATATCCTTAACCCTTATAACATGCATCTCAGTATCTGTCTGTCACTATTCTTTTCCCATTTCTGTCTCCTCTAGGACCAGCACCTGGACTGTGTGTGATTGTACTTGTGATAACACCAGACCTCATCAAGGGGCATGAGGATTATTCAGGACAAGAAGCTACATCATCTTGTCCCTTCTCAAAATCAGCTTTGCTTTTTATTTCTCTGTTTTTAACTATCTCTGGCTGAGGGAACTTCAGATCCAGAAGAACAAATTCTGTCATAAAGTGGAGGGGTCTTCTGGTAACCTACTCCAGGCCTTGTGGTACTTCTTACCTTGCCAGGCCAACGTTTTTCTTTCCTTTCACTTTTTGATATTTTGCTGTTGTTGAGCCTCCTAATCGAACTGACTTCACTGTGTAGGAGATGAAAGGATTAGAAGGGTAATGTCTGCTGGGCATAGGGAATATGTCTTATTAATGTGCCCTCCATTGCCATTTTTCCCTCCTTGCAGTTGCAGTCCTGTTGCTAAATGTGGTGTCAGGCTTTAGAATGGGGAAGAGGTCTAAGATGATCTTCTTCCTCACTTCCCTTGGTTCATATCAAATGTGTTTTTTTCCTATTTTGTCTTATTGTAGTGTTGAAAGCAGGGGTGTTACCATTAATATTGAATCTGTCAGTCTTGGGTGGGAAATTGGAGGCTTCAAGAAAAATGTGTTCAAAGCCATCTTCAGTTTGTAGTCTGTCCCATTTTCTTGGCTCCAGGCAGGCAGCCTGGGAGATGGAGAAGACTTGGTGATGAGGGAGAAGATTCTGTCTTCGGTGGACTTCCCTCCTTCCTTATTCCCTATATTTAACCTTGTTATTGTTTTGCAGGAGCTGGAGGAGTGCAAGGGGGTGTTATTAATCATAACGCCAGGTCCCAAACTTCAGCTCTGGATGGAGCCACCACAACGAGCACCAGCACCACCACTGCAGCAGCAGCAGCAGCAGGATCGGAAGTCACTGCTGCTCCAGGGACCCTCAGTCAGGGCAAATCGGTGGTTATCAGCACCATGGCAACTGCCTTGTCCACCAGGAATGGCAAGATTGGGACCACAACAGTGCAAACTTTGAATGGGAGTAACGTGGTGATGAACTCTCACCACACAGGAAGTGCTGCTTTCTCTGGGACTCCTGTGACTGCTAACCCCGCTTCTGCACCTGCTGTTGCCCCTCTCGTTAACAATGGACCTGGATCTGTGGGGAAAGGAAACACTGTTAACGCTGTTTTGCCCTCAGCTTCCAACACTGTCATCCAGACTTCTTTCCTTAATACTGCTGTGTCCTCTGCATCTTCCTCCTCGCCCACAGTTATCTCCTCGCAGCCACCACCGAGCATCGGAACTGGGGCTCCTACGGTAACGCTTGTGAGGCCACCGATTCACACAGCGGGACCCACAGTAGCTGCAGCTGGTGCAGCCACTCAAAATGGGAGCAATACTGTGATCAATTCAACCATCAGTGTGGGGAGTTTTCCTGCTGTTGCTACAGCCACTGTGGGATCTGGAGTTTCCCTCCAAACGTCGCTTGTGAACAGCCAGTCTGGTTCCGCTGTGCCAGCAGCTCCCGCCACACAAGTCATCAAATCTGAGTCTCCTAAAACGATAGTCCAAGCAGTATCCCAACACCAGACGCTGGCTACTGGTGGCCAGCCCAGTACTACAGGGGGTAACATGATTATTGGGCAAACTATGCAAGCTGGGCTCTCCAATGTTGCTCCCAACCCTGGTGGGATACCTCCTGCAGCTCCTGGCACCCCCACAGGAATGGCTAAAGGTGCTGCCAACACGGTGGCACAAAGTCTGCCGAGGACTCCAACAGCAACTACGAGTGGAATCAGAGCAACTTTGACTCCTACAGTTTTAGCACCTCGTTTGCCTCAGCCACCTCAGAATCCAACTAACATTCAGAATTTTCAGTTACCACCGGGTAAGTAAGAGGATGGAGGGGTTTTATTTTGGAAGTGTATTTCTAGCAGGAAGGCAGGTAGCCAAATAAGATTTCTCGCTCTGTAGTTGTGAATTGTGGAAAAGGTGTTGCATTGAGAGACAGAGAATGAGAATGCAATGAGAATTGTCTGGTTTTGAGTAGCAGAATAGTAGCATTCCACTACTGAGTGTATGGTTGCGGGGTGACCAAGAAGTCTTTTCAGCAGTAATAATTTGAAACTAGTTCTGCCTGGTATCTTTGTTAAAACATGAGTGTAGATGAAGCTGCAAACTGCCAAAGCCTGACAGTGGAGAATTATCAAATGAAATGTTGTTATTTCATTTTCACGTAAGGTGTTTTGACTCTTAAGGCGGTTTTGACAGTAGTTTGTGTAACCTTCACGTGCTGTTGGGTTCCCTCTCTGTCCCTGCATGCCCCCAGCACCTCAGAGCACTCGTGAATAGAGAAGCAGCAGATACAACACGAGAAAACTACCTTCTTTTGCTTTAAATACCTTCAAAGTCTGACTTAAAAACTCACAGATTTGAAGCTTGTGATGATCTTTTTAGTCACTGGAGTTCTGATACAAAAGGCAGTCTTGCTCTGTCCTTACCTCACCCTGTTGTGTCTGGGGTTGCAGCTTTTGTAGTAGCTAGTCTCATGCTTAGTGCTGAGCATCTTTGGACAAGGAATCTAGTCCTGAACTCACTGGGGTGAGTAAAAAGCAGGATGAGAAGCATTTCTTTCCTGAGAACTATTCCGTCCCTCCTTAAGTATCCTAGATTTGGAGATTTCAGGTTATATATTTGCTATTATTTTGAGCCAGGCTTGTACTTATATCCAGCTTCATTTTTAACTTAAAAATACTTGTGTGAACCTACACATAGTTTCCTGTCTTTTTGACAGTATATAGTAGTAGCTGTATTCTTACTATTCACTGTTTTCAGAGCAATATGCAAAGAACAACTAATTAAATGTTACTACTGGTACTGAATGAAATCAGTGGTGATTGTGTATCATCTGTTTCCATTGGTCTTAGTGAAAATACATCTATGGAATCTCCTAACCAACCTTAAAGCAATGCACCTGTCACGTAAGGTAGATCAGAAACCAGACTGTGTTACTACACACCATCTTCTTGTGTAATACACTATTTATGGTATGTGATGCCATGGAGTTTGATGAAGTCTGTCAAACATTCTGTGTGTCTGAGTTCTAACTGGCATAAATATTCCTCTTTTTTTTTTTTTGTATAAAAGATTATTCCCTATATGAGTAATTTGAATGACACATGTTGCTAATTTAAAAAAAATACCAGTAAAACTCAGACCTTGAAATCTCAGTGCTTAATTTGAAGCTTGTAAATTGATAGGCTGCAAAAGCTTTATTTATTTATTTATTGCCACACTGTATTCAAAGGATTTTTTTCAGGTTTACAGTCTCTTGCTGTGTATACCTACATTTTCACTAATACTGCATTATAAACCTGATTATGAGAAAAATCATACTGTTATGTCCAGTGGGACCTTTTTTCCAGGTAGCTGATGTTTTCAAACTGCCACAGCACACTGAAATGTGGGACTCTGAGAAGCAGTGTTGCCAGTCCTTAAGCATAATTGGACCATAAATTGCTCCTTTGGAGGTCTCGACAGATCAAAGTAAAACAATATAAGTTCTAAACACTTGAGGGTTTTTTTATTAAGCACTTTTCTTGTCTGTCCTACACTTTAAAAAATATTTATAACTTCAAAAGAGTAGCATGACTCTTAAAATAAGCAAGTATACGTGTTTGAATCCATAGAAATTGGAAATTGGGTTCCTGCATGATGAAACAGGATGTTTTTTTTTAGTGGAATGGATTTTTTTATTTTATATAAATTGCTTTGGTGTATGTTTTTATACCTCATGAAAGTAGCCAACTTTGAAAATGTTTTGCATGAAGCATTTCTTACAGAATAGTTAAGAACTGATGGATGTTGAGCTCTTACAAGCATCTCACAGGTGCGAGGACTGAGCACCTCTCAAAGCCGAGCCACTCGCCACTGCTTTAATCTTTAGCAGAGTGCACATGCATTGACAGTGAAAGGAGAGTAAGTGGCTGTGCTGGTGAAATTGTATTTCAAATCACAGTGTCATAGGCCAGGTTTTTAAAGGCAGTTTAGTAGTCTGAAGCTGCAGTGCTTGGATGCTGTGTGTCTACTGTCTGCATCAAACTTGGATGCACAAGTTGATGTTTTTAAAAGTTAGCAGTGTGTGCTAAGAAGAGTTTGTAAGACTTCGTGCATGAAATACCTTGAGATCATACACTGCACGTGTTGCTTTTTACACCAAGATTTACAAACACTGAGAAAGAAAATTGTAGTGGAAGGTTTGACCACTAAGCAACATGTTTTATAGTTATTTTCTTACCCTGAATGACTGTTTCTCGCTCTCCAAAATACAGTTACAGTTTCACATGTATGGAGAGCAGAATATAAAAGGTCAGTAAGCGTTATTAACTTGGGACTTGAAAGTTAGAATCTTTGAAAGGTTTCAAATGTTCTCTTAAAAAGAGCATGTGAAAAATAAGCTTGATCAATGCTCTTTAAAATACAGTACTTTGAGTAATACTTTGTATTGCATCAAAGTGATGGTGCAACAAACGGTGACTGAACAAATTAGAGATATTTGGAGAGCTAATGGGCTGTAGTTGTTGTGACCTTACTGGCTTCTGCTTCTCTTCTCTATGTTGCTTCTCAAAGGAACTGGACTACTCAGAGCATCTATGCATTAATAATGCTTTTCCCATACTGACATCTTTGAGGAAGAAGACTATTGTGCTTTAGTCTTTTCTTCAGGAACCCGTGTTTGGAACTTTGTGGCCCAGTTGGACAGATCTGGGTAGTGAAGGTTCAAAAATAACCTTATTTATAGCCTTTTAGCAAAGACATGAAAATATTGTCAGATAAATTTCTAGGGGGCAGGAGCACAAGTTTCTCTGTACAATGCAACTTTAAAGATGCAACATCTTTTGAAACTGTGATTGAAAATAAGTTGTATGACTGTCTTTGTTTCGGAGTACTTCAAGAAATGATATGAAATGTGTTGTGTGCGATAAATGTGGTAAGAGGCAGGAAAATTGGTGAGTTTGTTAAAGAATTAAGTCCATGTTCTGCTGTTACAGATGCTCAGAAAAGTGTAACTGAGATCATGCCCTAAGGTTAATCTCTTGCAATGTAAGAGTTTGTAAAGTCTTTAGAGGTCATCGCTAACGCATGGTAGAATCATCTTGGTACGATGACAGCACGTGTGTACTTTAAAATCACTTTTCAAAGTACTCTTTTCTCCAGCAATGTTGTAATACAATTGCAAACTCAATGTCTGTGAGCTTAGCAGTGTTGTCAGCTTGAGGGTTCAGAGATTTGGTTTTCTCCTCTTGCAGATGCTTTTTGCTGTTACTCTCTTTGCTTTATTTTTATGTGGAAGCATCTCATCATAAGCTTTTAAGGTGCCTGCTTAAAGAAAGGAGCAGGTTGGAGAGAGTGCTGTGGGTATGTGGTAAGAACAAAATAGAGCTGCTGGGTCTGGACAGTCTTTGCTACTAGCTGACATGAAACTTAGATCTAGCAACCTTCACTTCCCCCATCCACCTCTTTCCTTTTACCTTCTGAGTGAATGTTAGTACTTAAAAAATTTGCTAGCTTGATCCTAGCGACTAACCTTTTTTTTTCCTGAATAAACAAGGTTCTGTGACGCCCAGTCCTGTTTAAAGGTGGATAGGGTGGGTTGTCTTTAGAGTTGATGTAATTTTTTAACTTTCGTGATCACGACCAGCATTCTCATTAGCAGTTGTGCAGCTGTAGTAGAACTGCTATCACAGATTTGTTTGGCTTTGTATCTAATAATAAAACTCCTTTATTACTTTCACAAAACTCAGTTGGATCTGTCGGTAGCTGATGATAGGGCACGAGACTAGACTTCCTCATCGCTTTTTTTCTGGAGGGCATCTCATGTGCCATTCCTGTGGTGACTACAGGATGGGCCATTTCCCAGCTGTGAAACTGATGGGGCTGTCTCAAAAATCAAATGTTCTGGGGTTCTAAACAGTACTAAGAGTTGGTTAAAACTTACTGTTGGTGCTTTCTAGAAGCAAAAGGTACCTGGAAGAACGTTGGTGTTATAGGTCCTGAAGGATGCACTATGTCTGTTTGCATGTTCAAGGTTTTCTTCACAGCCTTAGAGACTGGAAACTTCACCTGGTTTTAAATGGAAGCCTAACTTTTGTAGAAACCAAAGATTTTTAGCTTGTGTTAGCTATTCAAGAAGGATTCTAACTTAGGCCTTGGTTTTAGTGGCTTTAGGATGGGAAACTACCCAAACAAATGCTTCATGGGTTCAGGTCGTTTTGACTTGAGCAGTCAGACTTTTTGGAGCTGGAGTCACTGAAAAACAACTGTTGCAGGAGTAGTTCAGTTTCCTGCGGTGAGCAGTTGAGGTGCGAGGCTGTGGGGCAGGAGAGAGTGGACAGCAGGAGAAAGGTGGCAGGCTGAGAAGAATCAGATGATCTTTTAATTGTAAAACAATTTACATTACTTTTGCATACTGAATGCAACGTTCTTTGGGTTACTTTGTACTTGAAACATGGACCATAGAAGTGCCTAAAGTAACTGGGAATATAAATAGATGAGGAAATCTATGGACTTCCATAGTAGAAGAAATATAGAAAGGAACAGAAAAAATACTATGAAGTAGTGGAATGTAGTTGTTTCTATTTCTCACTGACTAGCAAGCGAGTTCAAACAGATCCTGATGATAGTTTCCCCGTGTGTTGCACGTGCTGCCAATATTATGCCTGTTAACTGTGCTGGCATGGCTGTATTTTGTTAACAATAATGTCTGTAATGCACAATGATAATTGGAGCTTCTTATAGAACTTATAGTATGTTTTACTTTCAAAGCATTTTCCAAAACTTAATCCTTGCAACATGCCTGTGTGGTTGGTAAATAAAGTAGTATGAACT